GATTTTAACTGTCATTCCAGCACGTTTGACGTATCGGACTCGATTTTTACTATAAAGAAAACTATTATTTCCACTCTCAATAATTGAAATACTATCTTTAGCATATCCAATCAGCTGATGAATTTGATTCTGTAGCTGAATAGTTTTAGATCTCGACACTTAACCAACTCCTGTTTCCACTACTCGGCACCAAAAAAACTAAAAACAAAAAAAAAGGTTCCGTACGTTATGCGGACTGCGCCCCTCGTGTCGGTTGGGCGGGAATGGAGGGTAAAAAGCCGTTGGGATTAATTAATTAATAAACCTAAGCTTAAGATTTTGTAAAACACTTAAAAAAATGCATCAAAATTTCAAAGTTTTTTCTCAGAAGAGTTTTTTGAATATAAAGTTTTACTGCCCTTTTAATTTTAGTTTAATAATGTGCAAGTTTCAAGTGGCTAAAGATTACCGTTGATTTGTTGAATTTATTTGCCGAAGGTGTGTAGCGTTGCCATTGAATTTCAGAATATGTATGTAAGTATTTTAAGGAATCTTCAAAGAGCACTTAAAAGGGGAAAATTATAAGTAAATGGGAAATGAGGTACGAAAAATTTAGGTACTTAGGCGGGTTGGGTAAATAAGCGGGGAGGTACTTAAGAGAGGGAATTTCTTCAGATTACATAAAAAAATTCACGGCGCACAAAAATGTTGGTTAATTAAGCGGGTTAGGTACTTAAGCGGGGTTCACTGTAACTGCATACTGAGGTTTTTTTCTTGAAATTCTTAATAAAAAGTTAGTTGTCGTTGTAAAATGTTGAATTTATCTTACTTTTCAACAAAGTTTGAAATTTGGACTTACCTATATGGGTTTTGTTAGATGGTTAGCTTTAGTTTTATAAAAGAAAAAATAATAAACCTTAAACAAATAAAAGAAAAATAACCAAACCTGGTCAAAATGTCGTGTCCCTATTATTTTTCACATGAAATGAAAACTCAACGGTCTTTTTAAAATAACCAGAATCAAAATTAAAATAAGATTAATTTGCGAGTCTATGAAAAATATGTATTTAAAAAGAAAGTCCATTAAGTATTTCAGATCCCCATTTTGATTGAAGCCAACTTAAAAAAAAAAAACAGGACCAAAATAGAGTTTTTAAATCAGCGAAATTTTATTTGAATTTTGTTTGGTTTTTTAAATTAACTTTAGCGAATGTATGTATGTACATATATATGTGTGTATGTACTAGAATGTATTAAATTTTATACGCAGTTTAATATCTTCATTTTGCTCTTGAGAATCGATAGAGCTTTGAATGAAACTGGTTATAATTAATAAACTAAAGGTACATATGTATGTACATGTACCTATTGAAATTCTTCAATAATAAATTTAAATCAAAATACATATAATATACTTAAGTATACTGCCAAAACAAGCATATGGCCTGATTATGCATATGTACTTCGCATAACTTCGCACAACTTCGCATAAACTTCAAACTGTAATTTCGTATATACTTTGTATGTACTCCATTACCCAGAAATTAGCAGAAATTTTAATAACTTAGCGATCTGTTGAGTTTAGATTTTGTTCACATTTTCTTAAGTTACATTTTTATTGCACTGGTACAAATGGTTGTGCGAAGTTATGCGAAGTATGCATAATCAGACCTATAATAGAATTATAAATACCATCTGGTTGCATCTAAATTTTACATACCTTATGTCGAAACCGTTGTAGTGCTGTCAACAACGACATAAGCAGCATCTTCATCACCAGTATGCTAGCCCAGAATAAGAAACAGCAAAAGACGGGATTGTCAAGGGTTAAAAGGTTCGTAGCAAAGCTACTACTCTCAACCTCAGTAGCAGGGGGCTCATTGTATATAGCCAAAAGGGGACGTGCACTTGTTGTATCCATTTTATTTTCAAAATTTCACTTAGTTTTTGTTTACGTCTTTGGAGAATAATGATATTCAAAGGAAATCTGTTACTTAGACCGGCTGAACAACCGCAAAGCTTCGTTGATATCTCACGAATGGGTAAAGTTGCTGAGCTGTGAAGTATAGTTAAATGAACGCCAGGCTTAAATATGTAGAACTTGTTCGCAAATGTAAACGTTTAAGGTGCCCATACTCACCGTAGCACGTAGCAACATATAAAATTTACTGTTAATAGAGAGAGAGAGAGAAGCACGCGTAAACGTCGCACGTATACGGTGGTGAGTTTTCATGTACACGTACGTTAAAGTGTCAGCTGACACGATCAAACTTATGAGAGCGCCATGTAAATCAAAACTCACCACCGTGTTTGCTACGTCAAAAGCTGAAATTAGTCAAGAACGCAGAACGTAAAGCTAAACGCAGTCTGTATTCGCAGAATTTCGTAGATTACTGGAGCCCTCAGTGTTGCTTACTACAGTGTTGCCACTCATCAATGCCTTTTCATAAACTTACCTTTTCAACTACAATTTTTCGTGTTATAATAGATCGTAGCTAAATATAAACTACTTAGTTTTCAACAAAAAATCTTATTCAACAGTAACTTATAACTGTTTTACCATCTGCAAAACTGACGAAGTGGCGACCATCTATAGAAGGAAGAAATCAGCTGACAGATCGTGTCAGCTGACTCGGGTTTACGTACCGGTAGGTTTACGTTCTTGACTAATTTCACCTAAACGGACACGGCATACGTACACGTCGATGAATGTGGGCACCTTTAGTTAGATTTATATATGCATTTGAGCGAAGAGTGTGTAAGAGAGGTACATACATATGTACATATGTATGTATTCATAACAATAGGAGTGAAGCTGTTCAGGAACCGGTTGTCGTTAGAAGAATATTAGGATTGTATTTTAAATTTGGCAGAAGCATATACAGTATATTTTGCTTTGCTGCATCTATGCTTAAGTGCACATTTAAGATACCTACCCCAAAATGCGCATCAAAAGCATTATTTTTAACATTTATAAGGAAACTGCTCCGATAGATGCATTCAACATACCTGCACGTTGGCGATACCTGCCTTAAAAATTGTCTCGCAGAACAACAAAAATGGCTATCAATTTATGTAGTTATATAGATAATTAGATAACATTCGGTAAAAATTTCGCTTGCAGTAATTTCTACATGGTAAGTGCTCCGCCAATATTTGGTTTCATAGGGATTCGGATACCTTCCTCTTTGAAGTAGTAAAGAAAATTCGCTTAAGTGCCTTTTTCGGTTACGTGCACAAGTTTTTCGTGCAAAGAAGGATGTGCGGCTAAGCAAAATATACTGTAAAGTATTAGGTAACTTAAATAGTTATCATTATCTTAATATGTTTGTGTGTATGCATATGTTCAAATTTAACAACAAGAATGTAGTGAGACAACCTTTGGCTTTTGCTATAAGCTTATAAGTTCTGTTTATAAAATTTATTGTGTAAAGTTTGGATGAAAAGGGAAGAAAATAATCGCCTCTGCCATGGACGAACCAGTAGAGTCCAATACTTATGCATGGGCATATTCGTAAATGCATATCACGTAATGATCATACGACCTGTAGTAAACCCCAGACCAACTTTCCGGCTATCTATTTAAAATGGATTTGTGACTTTAAAAAGCCAGTGTGGCGTCCGTCGGTCTACACAAATCGATTTGTACGGGAATATTTTTGTCGAGGGTCCTCTTCATTCCGTGCGACCATTCTATATATTCTACGTTTTTGGTTTGTTAAATTGTTATTCCTGACGGAGATTCTTTTGTTTATTTCATATTTATTATTTTTTTTTATAAAAGTGCAGCTCATTATCTAACAAAAACCAATATAAAGTCACATTTCAAATATTGTACGAGAATTATAAAACTTCTGCAAAGTTGCTTATACATTTTTTGAGTATGCAGTTTAGCGTCCGACCGATTTCCAATTTTTGGCCGCTGCCGATGCCGATTAATCGGCCGGAGGGCAAAGAATCGGCGATGCCAATTCCTTAAAAAGAAACAACCTGAATATAAATTCATTCAAGAACAAATGTTTTTGATAAACTTTTATACTAATAAAAGAAAAACATAAACAAATTACTAAATAATATTACAAAACAAATAATCATTGAAGAATCTATTCACTTGTTTAATTACATACATAAATATGTATTAAAAGAGGTATATCGCTTATGCATACGTATCATTGCAGTACTTGTTCCATAGTCTTTTTCTAATTCAATGTAAAATAAATAGTTCAAAAAATATTGTAAAAATATGGAGCTTCTGCTGACTATAAATGTGTTGTATTGAATACAATTTGTTACTAAAAAGTAACCGTAGATTTTAAAATAATGATGAAAGTATTTTTGTAACGTAAACAATTTAACAATCCAGTGAAAAGAACCCGAAGGATTTAGGAATTCAGCGATTAATTCAAGGATGCCAAAAATCAACGGTAAGTCCTAGCAACTTCAAACTTACACTTTATTATTCTGAAATTAAAAAAACTGCGTACTCAAAAAAATTAAAAAAAAAAAACTGATTAAACAGCTTCAAATAGGTATGTACCGGCGGATACCCGGATTCTGGATACCATGTAAAAAATAAGAGCCAATGACAGAACGTGACATCAGTAAAATGCAATTACTGCCTAGTGCTACTTTAGACGATCCTCTGGACTGCACACCGCCACTGAGCCGACAAGTGGCTACAAGGCATGCAAAAATAATTCCACTGATCTGAAGTGGTCTCCAGCGAGATTGAAATATATAATCCAACACCCCTATTTCAAGGCTGAAGCGCCTGGACCATCTTCGCCAAGTTAATCCCAGGAATCCCCGCGTTCTTGGTCTAATCAAATAAAGCAAGCGCCGTTTCTATTCTGTGCCAACTGACCAGTATTGCCAGAGAAAAATTTCATTTGGAGTTAAAATGGTCGAGAAAAAGAGCTAAATAGTACTAATAGCAAAGAACGTTGATAACAAGAAGGGACAACTCGTTATAATTGTAGCGAAAGTGCGCAATTGGGCATTTTTTGACGTAACGTTGTTTTTACATTTTCCGCAATTTTGATAAAACGACGGATTTTATAAGTTTAATTGCTGAAAAAGACTTTTAAAACCAAAATAAGGTGCACACATATATTTATTTCGAATTCGTTGCTATGACACTTATAACACCACCCAAAACACTTATAACAACGCCCAAAATTGAATTTCAAAAACTTAAATGACATTACAAAAGTTAGTCGGAGTTATAAGAGATCCGAGTGTCATATTTCATCTAAAACCGTGCAGCCGTTTCTGAGTGAAAAGAGGTCTCGCATAGTGCAGGTTTTTAATTTCATCAAATTTCGAATCACCCTAGACCGTTGAAAAAAGTACTTAATTAAAAAAAAATAAATTTTATCACACATATATATACAGCCTAAGGTCTTTAACTTGACCTTACATTTTTGAAATTCCTTTTCAAAAGTATTGTCAAACTAAAATTAAATCTCTTTCTCCTGACATTGTGATACACATGTATTTCAATAAATTGATGAACTAAATTGAATTTGATTGTTCAAACACATGGCAACCTTCCTAAATAAAGGTCAGAAATAAAGCATTTTCAAACCCATTTCGATTGATTCCCATATTTTAATAATTCATCCAAGTTATTGAATAATTTGAATGTAACTTTTTAAACACGTGGCAGCCCTCTTCAAGTATTCCAAAAGTTCAAACCATGATAAAAGCATAGTAAGGTAAAACCGTTCTCTCAATACGTCGGCCATGATTTTTTTTTGAAGTTTGCCAACATTTTAAAATCGTATAAAATTGAGAGTAAAAAAAAGGAATTGTTCAAAGTTGTTGTTGTTTGAGATTGAAAATGAGAAAGTGTGTGTGAGTTTGTGTGTAAAATTTTAAAATAAAATTGCTTGCAAACGTCAAGAATTTGAAAAATTCCTCTCAGCGGTTCTACCTTCCTATTTTTTTATCATGGTTCAAACTAAAGATTTCTTAACATAATTTTCTTTAACTATTTGTTATATTTCATAAACTTTTTGTATTAGGTATTTAAATTAGACCTTTCGAACAGGTGGCAGCCCTCTTCAAAAGTATTTTAAAGCTTAGCCCTTGTTAACTATCTTTCGTCGGACATTGCGATCAATATTTTAACTAACTGATGAATTAAGTGGAATATGATTATTCAAACATGTGGCAACCGCACTAAATATAGTTCCGAAAAAAATTTTCAAACCCCTTTCGATTAATACCCATATTTTAATAATTCATTTAACTAGCTAAATAATTTGAATTTAACTTTTTAAACAGGTGGCAGTCCTCTTCGAACACCTCAAAACTACTCGTAGCGTTCAAACTAAAGATATCTTATTACTCCTTCGTTTGACATCCATATTTTGATATTTCATAAAACTTCGACATTTCAAGCATGGTGAAACCCTCGTAAAAATATTTTCAAACTACTACTTTCTGAAAACCCCTTTGTTTGGCACCCATATGGTGATAAATATTACCTAATTCCCTTATTTCAAATTGAATTTGATTTTTTAAACAGATGGCTACCCTTCTATTCAGTTAAGAAACAAAGCTTTTCAAACCCATTTCGATTGATACCCATTTTGTAATAAGTGATTCATTTTTTAAATAGTTTGAATATAATTTTTAAAGGGTGGCAACTCTTTTCAGAAAAGTAAGATGTTACAGCACATCTGCAGTCCAAGCCGTTTGATTTGACACCTCTTTTTGGAAAAATCGAGCGAACGCGGATATAATGGATTGATTAAAATAAAATCAGTTTGCACATCTACAGGCCAAGCGCTTTAATTTGACACCCCATTTTTGAAAATCGAGCGAACGGTGCAGATCTTTTATCCTGGACAAAAAATGCCTTAGCGTATTATATGTATGTATATATATGTGGAGATGTATGCACATATTTATATAAACTAGACAGTGAACTAAAAATATTTTACAAACTGCTAAAGTCTGCAATTTCAGTTATTTAATTGATCATAAGAACTCGTGTTATAAAAAATTTCTTCGCAAAATTTTTCTGAAAAGTTTTACTTCCAGCTCTCCTTAAAGGTAAAATTAGTAAGGTAAAGCAAAATCCGCGCGTTTAAAAAAAGGACTTTCTTCTAATTAATCTTTGAATTCTTTAACTTAGATCCAAGAGTTTATGGTGGATACACTGCATTTCGAAATTTTCAATATTATCAATGTTTAATGGTCTGATTATACATACTTCGCACAATTTCGCATAAACTTCAACTGTAATTTCGTATGTACTTTGTATTTATACCATCACCCAGAAATTAGCAAAACTTTTAAAAACTTAGCGATTTGTTGAGTTTCGATTTTGCTTCACATTTTCTTAAGTTACATTTCCATTGACTGGTACAAAAGGTTGTGCGAAGTTATGCGAAGTATGCATAATCAGGCCTTAAGTTTTGGCTTTCCTTTTCTACCGTGGCCGCCTGAGAGAAAATACACCGTCTGAGCTGATCGGCGCTCGAATTACTCTCCGGTATAGTTTGAGTGCTCCTGCGCACGTTTAGGAACTAATTGACTTATGGTCTGATTATGGTAACTTAACGTAACTTACTCTCTCTCTTAAAAATTCTGTTAAAAGGATGTTGCTTATAATTGAACCAGTGTTGCCTCTTAGTGAGTAATTCCTCAAAACGGAAGGAATTTCGGTAGCGCTTGAGTATTTTTTGAGGATTTTTATTTTGGGGAATTTTTATGGAATTTTCTCTCGACATATATGCAGATAACAAATGCAACCATGTTTTACACACGAGAGAGTTGTTAAATCGCTCTGCAAATTTTTGAACAAAAAACTTTCCGAAGTTTTATAAAGAGCAAAATACACCACACAAGCGGCTTGTCAAACATTCTTCAAAACTACTTTTCCCATTTCCCCATACACCATGCAAACATGACTCGCTCAAGCAAAGAATTTTAGTTTTCTTCCGGTTCACAATGTAAAAGGGTTTGGTTTTCTAAAATTTTTCTCTCTTGCGTCCTCAATCGGTGAAAATTCCGTTGCGAATGAAGCGATTTTATCATACACAACGTAAATCAAACGTCAATATGGCGGCCAGAAAATAAAAAATTTTTTTTTTGGTCACATTTCCCTCAAATGGCTTGTCAAACCTTCAAAAACCCCCATACACAACATAAATAGCTTTAAGCAAAGGAATATTTCGCTTGGTTTGTCAAGCCGCGTGTGTGGTGTTTTTCGACTTAAGCACATCTGCATTTGTTGCTAAATATTCAAAATGTTATCGATAATTTTTTTCATTCCATCGTTATATTTTCAACTTATTTTGAACTTGCAAAATCTCGATAACGAAGTGTTCGATCATAAGGATATTCATATTGATTCCTCATTCCCCGTCGAAATCTGTTTCATTTTGCTTGTCTAAGTTCTGCGTTCCGTTAAGTTAAGTTACGTTGCCATAATCAGGCTTTTATTCGCGTATACATACACGCTCTGCTTTAGAAGGCACCCTGCAGAAAAAATTATCAATTGATAAAAAATAACCCACTTGCAGTTAGCTTTTTTTAGAGATTTCTATAAAATATATAACTAGTAGTTAGCTGCAAAAAGCTTACGTGAAACTGTTGACAAGTAATGCAAGAGTAATGAAGGAGATTGTTTTCTTTAAACGCGTTTCTATTTAAATATCCTGCACTTCGCAAATACTTTTTCGAATTGAGGACAAATAAAAGGAAGATCGAAATTTCATATTATCATTTTGAAGTTATGTCTGACGGAGTTTAATATGGGACCACCTACAGCAGAATATGTAAACAAATATGAAATGTAATAAAATAAATAAAAATAAAAAAATAAAATAAAAAAAATATTTTCTTTTTCCTATTGATATTTTATGTCCAAAACTAGTTAGTTACATCAAATGCAGAGGTAACCACCCTTGACTACATCTAATGCAGAGGTAAACCACCCTTGACTATTTCGCGGCCATCGCCATAGAAATATAGTTAGATTTCGTCAAAAAAATATACAGATAATAAGTGACTTTTAGCTCCTTCCTAATCAACTTAAAGTTAGCTTATAGTTAGCTGCATTTCCTGCAGGGCAGCGAAAGCTTCATTCAACCGCACGACTTGTTCGCACGCACACAGTGACATCAATTGCACGCACACTACAAAAATTCTCTGTCGTAGCTGCCCAGCTCTGTTCTAGGACTATTGAAAGAAGCTTTTGTGGTAAAAATTGGCAAAATTTACAGCCTAATCATGTATCTCGAAGCGAACGTTCGTTTCGTCTGCCAGACGTTTCTTTCGTGTGTTGGTAGTATGTAAGTCGAAATCGTCTGGCAGCACGAAAACAGCTGATCGTTACGTAGTTTTCGTCTAGTTTGGAATTTTTTAAGGCGAATAGAAGACGAAAGTGAGACGACAATCGTTGAAAACAGACGAAAGGTTATTAGTGATCGTTAAGATGGAGGGTTCTGCCAGGAAAAGTAAGAAAATAAAAAATATAACTTGGTTTAAGGAAATATATTAATATTTATGCTTGTAGCGCTGAAAAAAACTACAACCACTCAATTTGAAGTACTGGTAAAAGAAATGGAGAGAAATCCTGACCTGGCCAGAGGTGTTGCAGTGTTTGGATCTGATCGAGGAAGGGTAGAGGAGCGGTGGGAGGAAATTATGAGGAAAATTAATTCTCATGGTCCTCCTACAAGAACGGCCGTCGAATGGAAGAAAGTAAGCATAAGTGCATAAATTGTATGTGGTAGATAAATGCTTGCGCACTATTTCCATTTTACTGACATTGAATTTTATTTTATTTTTATTTTTCAAGATATGGGCTGACTTGAAAAGCCGGACAAAAAAGAAGATTGCCGAAAACAAACGAAGCCTTACTGCTACCGGTGGTGGCCCATTCCGTCACTCTCCGCTTTCCGAAATGGAGCAGGCCATAGACAGCCTGGTTTTTATTTCGAGGTCAGCAGCCCCGAGCGGCAGAGTTTTCGGCATTCCTTCGACGGCGACCTCTAACATGTCAAGACATTCGTCGTTGGAGGAAATGCCTCCTTTACTTGTGACTGAATCGCCAACACTTGACCAACGAAGGCAACAAACAACCACCCTTCAATCTCCTATAAGGCACAACCAACCACCACCAGTGGGAGTAGTGACTCCCACTACACAGACAACCCGTCCTACACCAACGCACACGTTACGTTCCACTAATAGGAAGCGCACCTTCCAAGAGACAGTGGCTGAATCTGCCAAAGTCCAAGCAGAAGCCGCTAAAGTGCAGGCTGAGGCTGCAAAAAAAATGGCAGAGGCATCAATGCTGCAGGTGGATGCCACAAACAAATTAACTGCTGCAGTGGAACGCCAATCTGAAATTTTTGAAAAATTTTTGGAGTACTTCCGGAATTAATTTTCATACCACTATTGTGAGAGTATTGAAGTGATATTTTTTTTTTTTTTTTGTGTAAATATTTTTTAGATTTAAGTGTGAATTGATATTTTGTTGCATTTACTTAGTTTATATGTAGATTTAGGATTTAAGACTGAAAAGATATTTTGTTGAATTTTTATGTAAATATTTTATTAATTTTAAGACAAATGAATTTTGCTGGTGTACCTGAAATCTAGACACACATACTTTATAATAAAACTGCGTTTATAACAAACTCTCTGCTATTCTCATTCTAATAAGGGCAGCTGTATTCGAAATGTTACTGTTTTCCAGTTCTTCTTCGTAACTAACAAGATTCTCCATATCTGGGCTCTCCAATGGAATTTGATGTTTGAAAAATATACAAACGTTATGAATAGCACAGCACACATTTACAATTTGTGTAACTTTTTCTGGTGAATAGTGTAGCCCTCTCGAGCCAATTATACATCGAAATCGGTTTTTCAAAACACCGAAACATCTCTCAATTACATTACGAGCTTTCGAGTGCTTTGTGTTGTAAACTCGTTGAATTTCATCGGCTGCGCTTCTGAATGGCGTCATCAAGTATGGCTGCAAGGGGTAACCAGAATCACCTACAAAAATTTTCATTGTCAGTAATAGTTTTATAGCCTTTTTAAGTTTTAAAACTTACCGAGTAGCCATGTGTTGGTTTTTCCATTGTTATAATCAGATTTTAGCTCCTGTTCTGCGTGACTCACATTCCAAACAAATGAATCATGATTCGCCCCTGGATGCCTAGCGTCAACAAATGTGATTACCATGTTGTGATCGCATATCTGTAAGGAAACTCAGTTTGTGTATATGTATACTTGTAAAGATAGTAAATCATTAACCTACCGCCATTACATTAAGACTGTAAAAACCCTTGCGGTTGAGGTATAAATGGTGGTTGTCACTTCCTGGCGACTTAATACGAACGTGTGTTCCATCAACACAACCAATAACCCCAGGTATTCCGTATTTCTCAAAGAAATATTCTTTAACTGCATTTTCCTCATCGATGTTTCTCCTAAAATTCACCCATTTCTGGCAAAAATGGTCCTCAAAAATATTTAGGCATTCCCTGATCACGTTGGCTGCAGTTGACTGCCCCATCGACGAAATATTTTCGTTACCAACAGATTTTTGGTAACTGCCGGTGGCGAGAAATCTTAAAAAAGTCGCGAGTTTTAGCTGGTGCGATAGGTGGGTGCTTCTATGTGATGGAGCCATGTGGTCTTTTAATTCGTTTAATATGTATTGGAACATTTCTTTATTGATTCGGAAATTTGCAACAAATCTAGAAACGAATACATTGTAGCATACAAAAATTATTTGCTTATCTTGAACTTACTCAGTCTCAGGTAGTTGCATTGCATTGGTGTGGTCTCGCAATCTCCTCCTCTGTATCCGCCTTTCCCTTTCTTCGGATTCCTCGGCGTCCATTAGCGCTATAGCAGCATACATTTTTAAAAATTAATTTTCCTTATATTTCTTTCCGCAACACAACCAAAACACTTTTAAGCAAAACCAAAATGTAAACAATTCCGATGTTGCCCATTTAAAATAAAAAGCATTGAAATAAGCTGAAAATATTAGAAATCTAAGAAAAACTCTGTGGAAGTACATCAAAATTTCATCCGGCAACATCATACAACGTAACCGAGACGATTGCAACGTAATCGACGTAAAGACAAGACGAAGACGAACGACAGAGTTACAAAATTGCAATCCGTGACGATATCGCCTACAGACGAATCGTTCGTGCGGCCTATCGTTCGAGATACATAATAAGGCTGTATGTTTGCCCCGTATTCGGCTGCCATAAATGTAGTCACCCAGTGTTGGGAAATGAAATTGTTCCTTCAGTACGAAATCTATACAAAAGCTATACTTTTCGACTGTAAATTGTATAGACTTCTTAATTTGCTCAAATATTTTCCTAGTTCATGCATACATAGATCCCCTTCAAGACCAATGATTTGATGGTATTCATGGGAAAATTTATATAGGCACATTTACATATCTTACACCTTTAACATAAATGTGTATGCACATATTTTAAGGTACACTTCTTAACAAACAAATTTTGTTAAGTTATTATGAGTGGAAAAAGAGAAATCTTCTTTGTATTCAGTTCTAAAACTTGACATTTTAATAGTATTTCAAGTGCTTATCAAAACTTTACTACACGCACATATTGACAAGATTGGCCATTTATCTTAAAATTATTTAATTTCAATTAATTGTTTATAAAAATGCAGTTTACACTTTAACAAAACCCGTATAAATTCAAGGTTCAATCTTTGCGCAACATTAAAAAAATCAACAAACTTTCATAAAAATTCCGGCTTTTTAATTAGATTTCCCAGAAATTCATATTTTGAGTATGCAGTGTTGTAGCCCGGTCAATTTAAATAAAGTACATGTTTGGAATAGCTGCGACTTATCGTTGATTTTTAATATACATATCTATATATATTTTTTTTTGATGAAGGTGCTGCTCATTTTCTTCATTAACAAAATCGTACTTAGATAGTATCGAAGAATATGACCGACATCTTCAAAAAAAGCCACACATCACTGGTAAATCCCAGCTTCTTTAAACTTGCACTTTATTATACTAAAATTGAATGAGCTGAAAAACTGCAAAATATAAAATAAATTAAATAGAAAGCACGAAATTTTTACGAAAGTTGGTCGATTTTTTTTAATGTTGTTCAAAGATTTAAACTTATTTTCACAGTTTTTGTTAAGGAATAAACTTTATTTTTATAAACAAATAATTAAAATAAAAAAATAATAAAATAAATAGTCAAAACTAGTCAATATGTGAGTGTCGTATAGTTATGATATTTAAGAAGACCTTTTTCTTAATTAACGATGACACTGTTTCTATATGAAGCTGATTTCGACATTTTGTTTTAATAAGATTTATAGAAAATATTCTTTAAAAATTTGCCTAGGAATGTGAGGTTGATGGCACACCTTATGCTATGTTATAATGGTCCGTTCGAAACCTTTTTTCAAAACTTACAAAGGCAAAAACGGGAAGGCGAAGACAAAATGATAATAAAAAACTCAGTGCGTGTAGTCCCTACACGGGGAAGATGTGAAACTTAATATAGGAAATTCCAGAAAGAAAGAAATGTGCGGTATACATACATACACATGTGCGTATTTTCAAATATACAAAATATATTTATTTAATTTTTTTTTAACGAGCTTTAATTTTTTATTTTCTACAACCAACTGCTAATTTTAATAATTATTTGTGGCTGAGAAAACTTTCATATCTACAATATTAACTAGTGGATTGTAGCAAAAACTGCATCAATGGTAGTCGCTCCTTTGTTTGTTGGATCATTTTTACCATAAACCATTTCCAATGAAAATTTTTCTTTGAAAAATTTTTCCAGTTCATCGGATTCGGCTAAAGAAAAAATTGACATTGAAATCTGCGAGAATTACAAGTCGATCATAACAGTCTACTTATCATTATCTTCATCCTCATCTTTATCTTCATCTTCATCTTCATCTTCATCTTCATCTTCATCTTCATCTTCATCTTCATCTTCATCTTCATCTTCATCTTCATCTTCATCTTCATCTTCA